ACAGGTAGGTGATCTTAGACGAAGGACGTGCTCAAAGTCTAGGGTTTGGGGCTTCAGAACGAGAGAGAATTTCAGCTGCCCGTTTAAACAAATGATGGATCTTGGATGTCAGAGGTCTTGCTGGTGTCTATAGTTAGGTTCATTCTCTACCAATCCGTTCGGGTACCCTCCTTAGGATTCAGTATGCAGAAGAGGAGGTTTAGGGTTTAGGGTTTAGGGTTCCCCCCCCCCAAAGGGATAGGGGATACCTAAGCCCAGCTTTAACTGTTCTCAAGCCAGCCTCTGCCCTAATAGGGCTTAAGGTTTAGGATTTAGAGACGCGCATCGCACAGCAGCGCAGGTTTAGGATTTAGGGTTTAAGGTTTAGGATTTAGGGTTTTAGGTTTAGGATTTAGGGTTTTAGGTTTAGGGCCGAACCTGTTAACATGAACCGTGCTTTGAGTGCTTGCAACGAATAAGATGATCTCATTCTCATAAACGACAAAAAGCAAAACAAACAATGTAAGGTAGTCGTATTCTCTGCATTGAACGTTCTCGTGAAAACTTTACCCACAATCAAGGGCTGTCAGAACTCTGTAACTCCCTGGACGAAGCCAATGTTGTTATCTGCAGGACTTCACGAGGTATGACATCGTAGGGCATGGAGTATTGATATTGCAAGGCTGAGGGATTACAGATGCTTCACAAGCCAGCCTCTGCACCTAAGGCCGAATAAATAAATTAACGCCTCGGAATCGAAGAGCTTTGGAGAACTTAGATGATGCAAGATCACCTCCATGCACTCTAATATCCCACATCCAAACACGACCCTGAACCCTCAACTGTACTGAGCCCCAACCTCCAATGAGCCCTGAAGATTGTGTATCAGATAATCACATGTCATATATTGTAGCAAGTGCAAGAGACTATGGGGTACCACCTGGTCCTAACTTGCATTTTCTGTTCAACCCTTGAACTCTATCAACCGCTATAATATCCCAGTTTCCAGTCCATGTCCAGTTTCTTTGCCATTTGCTTCTCCACCACTCAAAAACACGCCTGTCCATTCCTATATGCCCATCCCTGCATGATCTCCTTCAACAGAAGACCATGGCCCCATCTGATCATGACTTGGGCATCTTCGCTAGCAAGACCCCGAACCGCACCCGCTTGTTTCGGCCGGGAGCCCGGCCAAAAAGTAAGGGGTCCGCCAATGTTTCTGCACCTGCATCACACGGTTTAGAGGGACCCAGGGATCCCAGTATATGAGCCATAGTCTGAAATCTCGTTCAAGGGGGATATATAGGAGATCTTATAGGGGGAGTATTATAGAGGTTCTTAAGGGGGATACTAGGGATCCCAGTGTATGAGCCCCCTTAATAATGGAGAATCCAATGAGAAGAAAATGGAAAATGAAATGGAAACTGGGATTATATAGGGGATTATAGGGGTTATAGTCTAAACTCCTAGTATCCCCCTTAATAACCCCTATAATAGTCCCCTATATAATTCTCTATATAGCCACCCTTTAAGGAGTTTAGACTGTAGCTCATATAAATGTACCTACATTGGGCTCCGAAGTCTGCAAGTGTTACCTACCTTGGGACCCTTGGGTACTGCCCCCCCTCTGTAACAGTTGGGTAATAATTCGAATATGGGTATACTAAGCCCTTAATATGACCCCTGTTATAGACTGCTACTGGGTGGGGGCAGTACCCCATGGGACCCTGAAGTCTGCAAAACATGGGGTCCCTAAACTCTGCAAAGATTACGTACATTGGGCTGTTTCGATGCCTCGGAAAGGGTTTCCGGTGTTGAGCTTGCCGGGTACAAAGGGCGTATCGGGCTCATCAGGCTTCTTAGGCTTAGATTGCTAGGGCTTAGGGTCTAGGGTCTCTGGTATAGGGCTTAGGGTGTAGGCTTTAGGGCTAGGGTCCGTTCACCAAAGTCATGCCTCAAATGATGGGACTGGTTCTTGCTAAATGCTCAATGAGGTTTGCAAGTTTCTGGTGCGAATGTCTGTCACACATGCGTCCGAAGCATAAAGTTTTTAATGGCCTCAAAGTACATGCAAAAAAAAACGCTTTGGGCCCACAGATGGACCATGCGCATACCTTCACCAGGTGGATGAACTACGAGCTTACAAAATCTGATGCTCCAGCTTACACAGGTCCATTTTTAACAGCAATGCAATACAGTGGATACTAACCCCAGGTACCTGATATTTTGGTAATTATAGTACTCTAGTATAGTAAGGCCCTGCAAGAATTCTGGTAGCGACAATACCAAAACCGGAACAAAGACAAACAAAAAGCAATTAGGAGCCTCTGGGCTCTGAACCACCATGCAATACCAAAGCCTTGAATGAAAGAAGGTTTGGCGTTTAGACAGCTCTCCTCCCCAAACGTCAAATCTTGCGAAACGTAGAAGTACACTGGTTCGCTCGATCTGGATCGTTGTACCTGGAAGTTTTACAACTACAACCCCCAGGGGAGGGGGACTTGGTTCCTTGCGAGAAGAATCCGGGCTACAAAATAAGATGACTGAGCTACAGCCTTCTAGTCCCGTTCACACATGGGGTGTGCTTGATGTCCAGCCTCCCGTTTGGTCTTCAACGGCTCCTCATCCTTCACCTGTAGTGGAGGCAGGCTAGCGATTGTTTGGACTTGTGGTCTCGTTTGCCACCATGCAATTACCTTAGCAAGGTCACCATATGGCGCGATACGAGTTCTGGCCTTGAAAAGCCAACAATCTACTTTTTAAAGAATCAGCGTCCAGAATCAATCCTTGGGAGAGAGCCTTACACAGAGTGTTAAAGGAGGCATTTCTTGCCAGCTAAGCAACACCTACATTTTCTGCAGGAAACTGCACGAGCCCCCTTGCAAGCCACCTACATCCACCTACCATGCTGTTACAAGGTTGCGACGCTACTTCTGAAGTCTTCCGTGACAAGCATTTTGTAGGGAGCTGCTGTGCCGTGGATGGAGGAAATCTTGCACCATCCCAAATCCCCTCAAACTTTAGTTTGGGGATCTAGCCTGGCGCAGGGTTGTCCCACTGTATCACTGAATGCTGTCTTGCTACCCTAACCCTACACCTGGAACCATCTCGCATCGCTGAGGCAGAAGCGTGCCAGATATATGGCCCGGCAATCTTCTTCCTCAGCGTTTGCCGCAAGGATGAGGCAAGCTCATGTTCAGATCCAGAGAAGAAAGAGTTTAATATCTTGCAGATGTGTATATATATATATGTGTGTGTATATGTATAGAGTAAGATCATGCAGATGCAGATATATCCAAGCCAGATACAAGTCTTCCAGCTGTATTCCAAATTATACTTATATTGCATCTTGATCTCTTTTTTGAGAATTCGAAGAACAAATTACCGATGATTTCTTTGCTTCAATGAATCTTCATTCCGTGTCCTGATCATTGATCTTGAATTGAGATCCGATTTGATCATGGCGAGAATCTTTCTTGCTCGGAGAATTTTCCGCCTGCAATTATACATTCTCCTTCTTAGGGTTCTAGGGTTTAGGGTTCAGAGGTAAGGATTAAGTTTAAAAACCGGCGTGTAGTACATAGATTAGGGTTGGTAGGACCCACGTATCGTGCAGTGCAGACTTTGGGGTTGGATGCCTTGTCAAAATTATGGTCCCTCTTGGATCCGTATTATAATGCAGCACCTAATATTTAGGGCACCCAAAAAGGGACCATAATTTTGACGAGCAGCTATATGCCCAAGCCAGCAAAAAAAAAGCGCTGGGCTCCGCACTCTCCCGCCATGTGCTCCACATGGCTTCGCTGCGGGTACACGGTGCTGTACCACTGCGGGTCCTGCTTATAGTCCCCCTTAAGTAGATAGAATATGGAGTATATGGGGATCTTATTTTAACATGCCCGTATTCTATATACTTAAGGAGGACTATAGATCTCCGAAGTTGGGTTGAGAGCACTTTTCGCGTGGTTATCTCCCGGAGCAAAGAGGCATCACCAAACCCTCAGCGCTAAGGCCCTAGCCCTACACCCTGAACCCTAAGCCCCAGAAACCCTAACTCTAAACTCTGAAGCCTGAAGTCCCTAACGCGAAGCCCTAGGCCCTAAACCCTCAAACCCTTAGCCCTGAAAACCCGAGACCCGTAACCCCAAATCCCTGAAGCTTAGATTCTAAACCGTGTAGGCGCCCATTCCAGCTCAGGCAAAAATACGTGCTTGGCACTCCTTATCCCCCAGCTGGGTTTATGGAAAATGTCTAAAGTATAGAGCAGTAAAATATATGAAGTCCAGGATGACAGGCCTAGACTAGGGGCCAAGGGTTCCTGTCTTTGACTATATAACTCTGACTCCGTGGCGCGTCATAGGAATAGGGACTACTACATTCAGGGATGCATTTTTTCCGTCCCCACTAAGCACCAGGTGGCTGATCCATCTCTTGTTGTGATGACCTTCTACTGTCATTGAGGGTTGTACGGCAAGGGATAAGTGGAAGGCAAAATCAAGCAGGACCCCCTGGATAGGATGCTCCCTAGTCCTAAACTAAAACCTAAACTCTAAACCCTACCCGTGAAACTCCGACTCGAAGGCCTCAGGCTCGTACTTTGGAATCCCTATTTGAAGGATTGCCAGCATTTTAGTCGGGGCATGGAAAGATGTTCACGCCTAGGATGCTTGCCCTACAACCAACCTTGTGGCTTAGTTCTATAAGGGGGTGTATAGTCCCCCTTAAGTTGATAGAATATTGAGTATATAGGGATCTTATTTCAATATACCCAAAACCATATTCTATCTACTTAAGGGGGACTATAGCTTCAAAGCTGCCCAGAACCCGTCTTTAAGCATAGTTCTCCTACTTCTTGGTACTTATACCTGGGGTCATACAGTAGGTCCCTTCCACCAGCTTTTTATCAGAACTACTATAAACCTCAAGTAGGTAAGGTGCTGAAACCCGACACCAAAGAGATCTCTGGGATTCCAAGGGATAAACTTACTCCGCTTGCTTTTTCACAGCAGTTCTATGGCAGCCTACTGAGGGTCAAAGCCCCTCTCATTGATCTTCTCGCCGATGAGCCGCCAGTAACTCCTTGGGGCTGATTCTCCCTAAGGGTCCAAGGACCCAGATAAAAGGGTTTTAGGGCACAAGTACCATAAATTTTCTAGTATTTGGGCCCTAAAGCCCTATTATTTGGGTCCTTGGGCCCTTAAGGTATTCTTATGTAGGAATCAGGTTTTGGGGTTCTGTGTATGGGCCTTTTGCTCAGGCTACCAACGGTGTCCCATAACGACATTTCAGGAGTTAGGATTTGAGGGCTCCCCGATCATGGAGTGCACAGCGCGCATTTTGAGAAACATTTGTGAAGGCCCCCCCTTCTAGCACCTTTAGAGGGCCCCATAACAATCCCAAGCAAACCATGCCACGCTCAAGAAGGAACTCCATTGGAGGCTGCGGGGACTTTACTGCCATCGAACGCAGTGCAGTAGCCTGCAAAGACTTGTCATGTAAGAATCGCAAAGAAGCCTGTGCGACACCTTATAAGGCTACAGATTCCAGGACCTCTGCCCAGTCTTGTCTTATGGGGTCTAGGGTGAATTAAAATGTTCCAGTGTCTCCAGACAAACCACAACAACATCCCAAGCTGCTCCTAAGAAACCCTACCCTTTTTCTCAGCCAATCCGTAGGTTGTCTGAACAAACCCTACGCTCGTGGCACTGCCAGGGAAAGGCCCGCGGGATCCCTGTGCTCTGTTTCCAAAAGCTTACTAGTTCTTGGTAGGAAATAAGGGCATGTAATCGTTGTATTATCCCAATATACTATAAGGTATTCCCATATTCCCCGTTCAGACACAGTAAGCAGTTTTTGGCCTCTAAGATTTCACGCGTGGATTTCTTCAGAGCACTACATCACATGGTGACCAGGTTGGAACGAGTCGCAAAACTGAGATCAGGCTCTTTTGGAGTAATCCTCCGTCCATATTATTTGAACCTACCCACCTGAAACTTCCTTAGATAGAAAGGCATCAGCTGCCCCTACGCCCCAAGAAGCAGCATATAAGTTTAATGAGCCCCGTGTGATTCTGAACCACTAGACTCGCAACCTCCAAGCCACGACCCTGAACTTTGTGAACTCTAAACCTTGAAACAAAAAAGCAGCTAAGGCTCTGAATGTCGATGTCCTGGGATAGGCTTGATGCAGGACAGCGGGAAGATTTGAGCTTGTCTCCGCCCCGAAAACAAAGCTTCTTGTACAATTCTGCAAATATCGAAGGAAACTTTGAGGCAAGACCAACAACACGGGTTGAAGCCACAAATCAGTAATCGTACCCTTGATGCTCTTGAGGGGCTTGGGATTACGTTCATGTGGAGTGGGCGTAGTGCAGGGCATAACGTCAGTCATAGCAAGATTGCTAGCATGTTTGATCACGTACTTTGGGCAAGCACGATAAGATTTGTTGATCAACATGTCACAGCCAAGTGCAAGATCTTAATACACAGAAATGTCCAAGCATAATGGTCTTACTGCGCCTTTTCACCCAGTCACGAGGAAGGAAACTCTGAATGGCATACCACCTACTACCCCAGCCCACCACAGGCCTCAGCAACCAAAGGCTGTTGGCCTTTTCTGGCTGCAAGGTAGTGTGGAAGGGCTAGTATGGAACTCATACATTCCCCCCGGAGCGAGCAAACAGACCAACTTGCCTACTCCGTTGATCCTTGACATCCCACGAGAATTCGCCTGCCAAATGGTCACGCGTTTTGATTCATGGGTCGCTTTTGTATAGGACTAATTACAGTTGTTGTGGGTCATGGATTCCAGGACCCTGCTTCTGAGGAATGCTCCTTCTAACCCCGATCGGTCAGGCACCCTGCAGCAACCCCAAACCCTAAACGCTTTATAGTCCCATTATTGTAGTTTCCACTTTTCCATTATCCCCATATAACCCCTATATATATGTATATATACATATATGTAACCCCCAATATATTCCTAAACCTTAAACCCTAAACCCCCGCAACGCCAAGCCGCAACCTTGAACTTTGGATGAACTTCCGGACCCCGTTGTCTGACGTACCTCGGGCAAAGACTGTGGATTTAGGGTTTAGGGTTCTTTAGGGTTTAGGGTTCTTTAGGAGGGGTCGGGGTGCACTCAACGTTGCACCGTGTGGGTTAGACCTTACAAAATGAAACTTGTAGACTTTTAGGCTCTTTTAGGTTTTGTTGCTAAGGAAACACCTTCTGAAAAACGCCCGAACCTGCTTTTACAGGCCCCCGGTACACTGAACGCAAGCCACCAACGAGTGGCTGGGAGCAGGCCCCTGATGGCGCTGTGTAGGTGATGTATATGTATTATAATATGTATATATACACAACCTAGAATGATATCTATAGAATCTATAGACTTTAGGGCCCAATGTATGTCTGATCTCTGCACTTAGAGCCCAAGGGTAGGATACCTCGCAAGAGCATGTCATTGTATTCCTTATGGCTCGTCGGTATAATGACAAGAGTAGCCATTGTATCTAGTGATGACCGAGCGCTTAGATACAAACTTGCTGTTGATACCCGCCAGATCCCTACACCCTAAACCCTAAACGGAGTGTCACGTTAAGCCCCCTGCTTCTCCAGGGCAGAGATGTGTTTACGTAATTCTGAGGGCTTCGACGTGGAAGACGATGAGCCCTAAACCCCAAATCCTAACTCCTGCTGTGAAGCTTTCCTGCATCCCGGGGAAGGAGACGGCTCGTTTTAGGGCTTTAGGGGTTAGGAACTCCGCAAGTCTCAAGTGCCAGGTGAACCCCACACCAACCTGAGTACTTTAGGGGCCGCAAATCTGAAACAATGTACCATTCTACACCCTTATTTAGCCCGTAAACCCTGAAACTCTCAAACCCTTAACCCCTACAATCTGAACCCTTGAACCCTACACCGCAGGATTTGCAACATGCTCATTTTCCTTTTTTGGGGTCTCATGTTACCGGCCTCCCTGGACTCAAGGGTTGAGGCTACCACCGGAAGTCCTTCAGCCCTTATAGGGATTTAGGGTTTAGGGAAAAATCTTATTCCGAAACGAATCTGCTTCCTCAAGACATATTCCTTGAAGTTATGTGGCTTGTACCCAGTTCAGCTTAAGTTATCAAGACATCCAGCTTCTCCATGCTGCTAATGCCACATTTTCTCTGGGGTGCTTCATCCTGATACTTATTTGAATGATCCAAAGCCCTGATTCGAAAAGGCTTTGGGGGGTAGCTCATAACAGTACCAGTACTGATGACAACAACTGTATTCATTGTGGCATACTTGCACTGCACCAAGATTGTGCCAAGATATCATTCCTAAGTATGTATGCTTCTTCTTTATCTACTGCGCCAACTACAGCTTTTAATCCCTGGCATCTCGGCAAAAAGTAAGTGCTCCAAGCGGCATGTAGGGTACATACCACGCGTAGCCAATGATGCTCAAAGCAAGCCTGCGAGAGCTGAGATGGAGCACCCCGCCTATTTATAGGGTCTTGGGGTCTAAATCCTAAACCTAATACCCTCAACCCCAAACCCTAGGGTTACCTCAGCGAATTGGGGGCTGTCTGTCCCCACGTATCAGACTGCTTCTAGACGGAACTCCAAAGAGGAACTCAATGCATGAGGTTCTGGGGCTTAGGGTTTAGGGTCTAGGGGGCTTTCAAAAAATTGGGGTCCTGTCTTGGTAGCCCCTGCTGTATTGTAAAAATGGAACGAAAAGCCATGCACCCGTCTAGTAGCAGCACTGCATCACAGTTGCTGGGGTTTTGTAGGGAATATGGGAATAGGTTATATAGGGGTTATATGTAGGGACTAATTCCCTGGTTCCTTACAAAGCCTAAACCCTAAACCCCCAGTAAGCAAACGCGGCCAAGCCACAGGACGCGGGTGATGCCACGGTGGAGGAAGTTCGCCCACGTACGGTTCTTGTACACCTCTACAATCCTAATGGTCTAAGGACCCCAAATAATAGGGCTTTAGGGCCCAAATACTAGAAAATCAAAATATTTGGGCCCTAGAACCCTATCATTTGGGTCCGACATACCCCTAAATAGTCCCCTAACATCCCTATCTATTCCCTAAACCCTTGAAGTATTAAACCCAATTATTTGGGTCCTTGGACCCTTAGGGCAAGGCACAAGCTCCCTTCAACATGACCCCACGGCTTGTACAGTAAAATCTTGCAAATGCTTGGGAGGTATGGGGGTTTCATATCAAAATGTCACGGCATGATCTTCGAAAAATCAAGAAAGTTTGAGAGGGAAGAGAAAGATGGGGACGATTGGCGGGAGTTGTTAGATTCTAGTAGTATGACAAGGGGGTCACTTTCAGGATAGAGAGAGAGAGAGAGTGTGTGTGTGTGTGTGCATGCGTGTATAGAGCTTTTTGCTTAAAAGCCCCGCCTCATGTCTGACAAGGCATTTGCAACTCTATTGCCACCTTCTCAAGCCATGCGGTTCGTGGATGAAATCTGGTACCATCTGATGAACCCCAAGTACTACAGTCCACAGGGCTTGCGTTACTTAAGCTAAATAGGTGGATTACGAACCCCAAATGATCTAAGGCTGAAACCCTGGGCATCTAGTACGGGCCCTTAAACCTGGGATCTTTATATACCTAGTACATACCCTGTTTGTACCTTAAAGGTTCCTAGAATCTCCCTAGAAGGCCTAAGAGCCTAAGGGCCCACATTAGGGGCCCATACTTGAAACCTTAGAATGATAGTATCCAGCTATAAGTTGGGCTTATCTGCCCAGTATTGAAGGTGGTGCAGGACTACTTCCACATCAACGGTAACGACCAAGGCGCTGTCAGCAGCTCTGTGTTTCTCCAACTCACCTTGACTGGAGCAACATGGACGCAGTCTTACTGGTTGCAAGTGAAGAAGGAGGGTACCACATATACCTTAGCTTGGGACCCCACCCACTGACAGTGAGTAAAGGGATAATGGTAGGTACTTTACACTGCGAATACATACGTAAATAAATATTCACCACTATGCCACTATTACTGGGTGGGCGGGCTGAGCCTGTGAAGCACATTGGCTCAGAACGTTCGACTCGAACGGTATTCTTACCTGGTCCTTAGTACAGGTCACTATGTGATTGTACATTCCTTAATGGGTTACGGTGCAGGGTCTAGGGTTCAAGGCTCAAGGTTTCAGAGGCGTTAGGGTCTAGCATAAGAAAAGTTCAACTTTAAGTCTCAACAATGACCCAGCTTAAAGGATTGTCTGGCTTTCTCAAATATCTGAATGAGAAAGAGCTGGCTAGAAAAGACTTTCGCAGCCCGAACTAGGAGCTTTCTGGGGCTACGTTCTAGATCAACCACATTTTGAGGTGAGGTCGGATGATGTCGAGGGGAATTAGCTTCGGATGAGTATGTGGACATTATGTCGTGTCTGCAACCCAATGCCTGGCTCACCTTCTTGGGGTTTCAGATTTCAAGGTTCTCAAACCATACCACCACTTTCATACTACTTTTTCCATCGGCGGTGAGATTTACTTTCGTCTTCCAAGGTCTCCCAAAGAGCAATACAGTAGAACCTCGCCCAATCTAAAAAAAAGAAAGGCCAACTCTCGACCCCCAATCCTCTGGCATATGAAGCTTTCCTAAAATGGGTGATGCCTTCTTGCGGGTCCCTATAATAAGGACTATAACATGTTGGGGTCTACATGGGGACCCCCTATTTCGGAAAACTACCATACACACCTTGAAGCCGCGTCGCATGTATCAGGCCTTCAAATCCCTTCTGTCGAATCTTGTGCCTGCATTGCAAGTCTTCGTAAGTTGGCGAAGGGTGCTTTGCTTTGCTTTAGACCCCAAGACGTTTGCGAAAAATCTTTTCAGAAGGCAGATGCCTGTGCTTTTATAAGGCCCGGGCTTTGCTGCATTGAGTTTAAGGATTTCTTGGAGGGCACAAACTTATTAGCCGTTCACAGCTTTGTCGCTCTTCCTGGGCTTGCAGAACGTTGGTCTTTCACCATTCAGGGACTGTTCTGCGTCTAGACCAAAACAGATCTTACACAAAGTTTACGTACCAGGTGGCAGGGAGCATAGCTTGTCTGCTGGCCGAGGTTTGAGGCCTTGTGTTGAGCACGCTGGAGGCTCTCAAGATTGTAGCCCCCCGTATATGGGGATCATATGAAAAAAACACCCAAAGCCATATTCTATCTACCTAAGGGGGACTATAATCAGGTCTTGCTTGATTGTCTTACTGTTCTTGTTTGCGGACATGGAGCGCGGTGTTAGCCACTCTGCGGCGTTTACGTGGTCTGTTCATGATCAAGCGGGGGAGCGGCTGTGCTTACATGGAGCGTATTGGGGGTCTTTCCTGGGCCAACGCTTGCAGGTCCTTGTGAAGCCGCTCAGTTCTACATTGACAAGTTTCTACGGGGTTGGTTGAAGGCGGGTTCGCATAGTAACCTCATCCTAAGATTCTGATTCTCCAATACCTGCCTACATTGCATCCAAATACGCGCCCAACAACAACAATGCCATGATCGAACGCGTCTGAACGCTGAAAACCTAAATCTGAGAGCCTTGTCCAGTAGAAAACATGGCTTTCTCGTTCAAAGCGCAAGTGCGCCCATGACAAGGACTTCTATGATTATGTCGCATAAGAAGTACCTCCCTTCATATTTGATACCAGATGAGCATGCAATGAGCGCGCCTGAAACCTGAAATCTCTCTCTCTCTCCCTGTGTATCCCCTAGAGCCTTAACTTTGAAAATGCCCAGAGGAACATCTAAGCGGCTCCAGCACAAACCTTCAGCGGGGATACCTATAGTTCCCCTTAAGTGGATAGTATACAAAATGGCCCAATGTTACAATAAGATAGCCACATACCCCATATCCTATCTACTTAAGTCCCCCCTAAAACCTAAACCCTGAATCCTAAACCCTGAATCCCAAACCCTACTACTTCAGGGGGACTATACTTCTACAACCCTAAACCCTAAGCCCTATACTATACCCTAAACAGCAAGCATGGGTGCTTGATGTTGGTGGCCAGCTCCTCCCAGCCATCCCAGGATACTTCTTTGGCCAACTGTACCTGAAACTGACCAGGAAGATTTTGAAACTTAGGGGTTTGGGGTTTAGGGTTTAGGAGTTTGGGGTTTAGAGTTTGGGGTTTAGAGTTTGGGGCTTACGGCTTAGGGTTTCAGGTAGAAACTTGGGGTGTTCTTAAGGGTTTTGGGGGACTGTTAGGGCCTGTTCAAGCATATTTGGGGTGTAGGGTGTGGGGTTTAGGCTTTGGGAATTTCAGGGGCAAATGCTATAGTCCTTATTATAGAAACCTCCACCCTGTCATCAACAAAAAACCCTTCAGATACGTAGTTGTCAGATCATCTAGGGAATGGGGGCTTAGCACAAGGGGGAGAACATCGCAACTTAAGGTTTGGGCCTTGCAGCTTTTGGAAGAATCTCCTTGGAATAGAAAGCCCTAAAAGCCCTAACCCGCTACACAATGAACCCTAATCCCTAAACCCTAGACCCTACACTGCCTAGACTCTAAATCCTAGACCCTCAACCCCAAACCCTAGACCCTATGTACTTCATCAAAGGCGCTGTTGCCAGGTCGTTCCTGTTTTCCCGAAGGAACTTCCTGGCAAGCTTCAGGAGGCCACCGAATCCATTCAGGGTCTCAGACTGGTCGCCTTCTCCAGAAAGCCACTAGTATCCCTTAATCAGGGAAGAGAGTTTTTAGATATATCTTGAACCATATAATGCATCGTAAGGCCATTTAGGGTATATTCGCAAAAATACTGACGTTGGGCTTTCTGCACTGGTAAGCTCTTCATGGGTTTCCATAGTAACCTGCTGTATGATCTTTTTCCCATAGCCGGGATCGGTCTATACCACCGTAGAAAACCGAACCCCCAGCCAAGAAGACCAGCAACCTGCGCAAGGTTCTGGTGTCAAGGCTTAGGGCAGACTGAACCCAAAACCCGAAAGCGTAAAGCATAGAGTCCCCCGTAAGTAGACAGAATATGAGGTATATGGGGTCTTATTATAATATACCCAAAGGTCATAATCTATCTACTTAAGGGGAACTGTAAACCTAACTGTGTGGCTCAGGGTTGACGATAAAGTGAGGACAAGAGTTTCAGAGGTGAAGGAGCGCTGGCCCTCTTTCAATACAACATGGCAGCTTCCCTAACTAGGGGGACCACAATATAGACCCCCAAATATTCAAAAAACACTTCATATGGGGACCTCCAGCATGATACTCCTGATTTTCGGAAGCTCCACATGCTTCATGCTACTTCTCAAGCCATTGGTGCAATGCACGCTGGCCAGCACCAAGGGTGCACGTATGCATATAGTCTTCGCCTGAGGCCTCAAGGAGTCACTTTGGGGCTGAAGGCTTTACTATATAGCCCTGATGGACCCTAAACCCTAAATTGTGAGCCATATACTTGCTTTGGGGCTCAAACCTATATGCTACCCTAGGGCTCCAGTTACCTAAATAGTAGGTTACTGGGCTATGTAACTATAGGGTATATAGAACCCAGTTCCCATTATTTAGGTAACTGGAGCCCTAGGGCTATATAGCTACATACACCCTTTGGGACAAAAAAACGAGCATCCCAACTCCAACCCTCAGACCTGCAATCTTCAACGGCAAACTTTCGGGCCTATGCACCCACTGCTTCCCTAGAATCTCAAAATAAGCGGACCTTAGGAACCCCAGGATAAGAGTTTAGGGCTTAGGGTTCTGGGTTCTGTGGTCAGGTCAGGAATGATTTTGGAGGATCTTCCCGAGCCATGCTTGACTGGTGGGATGGGGCCCGGGCTATGAGTAGAAGTTCACTTCCCGAACACCAGACCAGCAAGTTCGTACACATTAACTTCCAAACAGAACAGAGCGAAAATGTTTAGTAATTAGTAGCCCCTATATAGCACCCAAGACCACAATAATTTCTGTAAGCCGTCCTTTCCCTTTAAAGCCCAAACCTCAAGGAACTTAGATGTTTCCATGTTTTATACCATCCCCTACTCACAACCCCAAAGCTTTGTCCCTAAACCCTCACTCATAATTTCCATTTTTCTTTCCATTCCTTCTCCCTGTGACCTCGTCAATTTTACAGAACCTTGGGAACCACATCGGGTAGAAGCAGGGGTTATGTAGGGTCACTACGTATCCCAGACCTCCCCCTCTCGCAACACTTTGGCCTCAGGATTTCGACCTCGTCCGCCTCGGCTGTATTAGAAGGTAAAAACAAGCGCTGAGATTGGCAATAGATGCAAGGCATGTGCTGTTGTTGATGGTCCGCCATGGCGGGCGAGTGGGTGTTTTCTAGTCTGCACTCTTCGTGCTGGCCATGCTTGAAACACAGTTTTCATGTCGAGGCTACAAAAGAGGGTACTTGGAAGGTCTATCCGCATGATGGTAATACAGTAATGCGCATTCTCCCTCAGAGTGATCCCCACGACTTTCTTGTAGTTTCTATCCTTAGGGCAACCCGACCGTGAGAACACACGATTTAGTGTCTAGGGCTTTAGGGTCTGATTAGGCTTCAAGGTTTTGGGGTTTGGGGCTTAGGGTTGTGGCATCCAGGGTGCTGTGGCTTTCTTGCCTGTTCTACAACACAGAACCTGACAAGCACCTCTTGATTGCTTGCGGGGCGCATGAAACCCTGTCCCTAAAACGTGAACTCCAATGCCTAAACCCCATATTCTAAATCCTGAACCCTAAGTCCTTGTACCCCAAAACACCCTAAACCCTAAATCCCTAAACCCTAAATCCTGAACCCTAAATCCCTAAATCCTAATAAGCTCTACCTAGACCCTCCGATGTAATATCTTTTTGGTAGTCTGGTAGTCCTAATAAGAGCCCTAACCAAAAAACCATACCAAACCCAAAAAAGGAACTACATTGGAGGGTCCTAGAATACAACCCCAACATTACCCTAAACCCTATTACAGTAGTTTCTATTTTCTTTTCCATTATCCCAATATCACCCTATAACCCAAAAAGGAACTACATTGGAGGGTCCAGGTAATTCCCATGCCCTGAACTCAAAGCAGATCTTGGGCTCACCGGGTCCCGCTTTCCCGTTTAGGGCACCCTGAATTTTTCAGGGCCGTATTTACCCAACCCCAATAAGGATCCAAATTATAGGGTCCCTTCAAAGGGGCTATAGGGGGACTATATGGGGAGATTAGGGGATTATATTGGGGTATACAGGACCCAAATAATGGGGTTTTAGGGCCCAAATACGATAAATATAGGAATAATTGGCGCTACAACATTATTATTTGGGTCCTTGGACTCTTAGGCCAACCCTAAGGATCCAAGTATACGAATAATACCTGCATTGGGCCCTAAAGTCTGCAAAGTTTGGGGGCTTAGGCCTTAAGATGTTGACCTACCTTGGGCTCCCAAGTCTGTAAATCTTGTCTTTTTACATTGGGCTATTTGTGAAATTGACGCATCATTGAAGCATAATTTCAGCAACAATCCAATATACCCTCGGCGTATCTATGTTCCGTACTGTTGATACTCAAAATCCTGCCTGACCGTAATATACAAGAATACCGAAATTCCCAAGATTTAGTGTGCTTAGGGTCATGCAGAATTTTAATCATCAATTCTAAGTTCTAAACCATGTGTACTATAGTCTAAACTCCTAGTATCCCCCTTAATATCCCCTATAATAGTCCCCTATATAACCCCCTTTAAGGAGTTTAGACTATAGCTCATGTGTAACCCCTAGACTTTTACGGTCCACTGCATCGCATTTAGCAGCCTGATAAGGAGCCCCAGCCGCGTGCACGCCATTTATCTGCCCCTCCGGAGCATCCTGGCTCGCAGGAAGCCAGATACATTGGGAGGACCCCCCACCCCGTAATAGTCACTAGAAGGGATTTCAAGGAATACATTAGGGTCCTATTATATTCCTAGTATACACCTAATACAGAGTGGGGGGTTCCTCTTAACACATACACCGTAGAGAATGAAAGAGCCCAAAGGGCCGATGTAGCAGGATTTAGGGTCTAGGTTAATGTAGCAACGCAACCACGTAATAATCTATACATATAATATGTGGACCCCAAGATATTTGAATAGAAACCTCTGTCGACATGTCTATTTACCTGAACCGTCCAGGGAAGATCATGTACAACATACTCAGGTGATACGTAGACCCTAGGTATCCAAATAGCCCAACGTAGGCAATATCTTGGGCCCAATGTAGGTATTGTTGGATCTCCAGGACTATACACCCGGAGGCCTACTTGATAAATTAAAAAAAAAACATTGGCTGGACCTGAAGACCCAGAAAAACCGTACTTAGGTAGTTAGGGTGTCCTGGCAAACTCAACATAAACCCTGCCTAAACCACCCCAAAAGCAAGTAAAACTATCGTCCAAACCCCCTAGAGTACGATTATTCTACATACTTTGGGGGGTCCAGGTAAACCCTCAACCGCCCTTCCTTTCTGAACTGCTTCATCATAGCTCCTCGTCCACGTCCGCGTGCACGATGAAGGGCGACAGGTCCAGCCCAAAGCAAAACACGTGGCGGTAGAAGCCTGAGGTCATCGTCTCCCTATAGATATGGGGGTTTCCCAAAATCAGGCACCCTTTTGGGAGTCCCCATAATAAGGATCATAATACTTTAGTGTCTATTTTGGGGTCCCCCTATTTTGGCAGACTATCATATAAGGTGTTGGAGTAAACTGGGCCTAACAAGTATTCTGCTTTTAACAGCCTGTCAAATCAGCTTTCCCTATTTTATTTTCCTTCATCCCAATATTCTCCCCAATATATACCCTATAATCCCTATATGAACCCTATATAGCCCCATTATAGTAGTTTCCATGCGATGGATGCAGGAAAAATTGGCTCCAGGGGTTCTTATGTGGTGTCTTTCTGGCTTGTGACGCTTGTTTGGTAAGGGGGGTTTAGGGTTTAGGGCTTAAGGGGTTGTAAGAATATTATCCAAAAAGGAACTGCGTGGGAAGGTCTTGGTAATCTGGTCGAGCTTTGGGAACTTTAGCTTGCTAGGTTGGCTTAAACCCAGGTCGCGATCTGAACGGACCTGGCAACACAAAAGTGTCTGATGTTCACATTTTTTGTAAGCACATCCTGTTATCACGAAAGCAGGCTGTTCATGGCTTGAGATCTGAGACTCGGGTTCAAGATGACAGATGATGATCTCTGGCTCGGAGATATTCGAAGTGGAGAGCCAAGCAGACGAAGAGGGACGGAGAGGGAGGTAGGGGTAGCGGAGGGGTGAGGGCCTTGAAACTCCTGAACCCTGAATGGTTGCGCGGGTATTCATGATTGGGGATTCCTGTCCAGCAGCCTGCAACGAAATCCCTTGCCCGGCATATAAGTACCATTATCTCTTGTGATCACTTTTACTGGGTGGGCCCAACCCAACCTATGTAGCCCCTATATGACCCCATATAATGGAAAACAGAACGAAGCCACACCCTAAATCATGTAAACCCTACATAACCTCAATCAGATCCGCTAAAATGGCAAAGCAGATGGAAGCTGCTCTCCAAACTGCCCCAAACCCCTAAAAGCCTAAACCCCTAAAACCCTAAACCTCAAAACCCTACACCCCGAAAACCCTAAACCCTAATCCCTAAAATTCTAATCGACCAGGAGCATCCTTGCCACTCCGTTGAGCCATCCGCCATGTGGGTCAACAGAGTCTGGCAGTTGGAAGGATCAAAAAAACAACTTGAGAATCATGGAATCACATATGAGCTATTGGTGTAGGGTTTAGGGTCTAAACTCCTTAAGCGGGGGTTATACAGGGGATTATATAGGGTTTACGGTTTACGTCTAAACTCCTTGAAGAGGGTTATATAGGGGATTATATAGGGCAGTACTATCGGGCTCATTAAGGGGGATACTTGGAGTTTAGACGATAGCTAATCTGCCTCGCTGTAAAGACAATAGCTTGGGTTTTCCCTCTATAGGAGTTCCATGTTCGTCTCGGTGGAGAAAATGAAACAAATTGCGAGGCCTACCCAAAGGGGATGCAACCCTAGACCCTAAACCCCAGGAAGCCTTTGAGGTCACAAGTATCCTTGCAACGGGTTCCCGTATTCTTCTCAACTGAAAAAGCACGACACACGCACAAAGAGAGGTTTCAAGTGGTTGCTTCAGATCTGCGTTCGTGATTGATGCTTCTGAACATGGGGTACTGGAAACAAACTACCTACTCCAATTGAGCCATCGTCTAAACTCCTCGTATCTCGGTAATGATCCCTAAAGCCGTCCCCTATATGATCCCTTATATAACCCCCTTGAAGGATTTTAGATGGTGGCTCAAGTGGGGCCCTCTGTAGCCAAAGCAGCGTAGCCTTGTGCCCTGAGGACTTGAAACTTGCTTCTGCTTGCCAGCGAGACCCGAAGGAAGTGCTTATATTTGTGGCAGATTCGGCGGCCTGTGGCACTGTTGGTCCTTCTTCGGTTACGCTAAATACTCTGGCCGGTATTATGCTCGGAAGCTCCCAAAAGGGACACTCAAGTTGACAGTTTGCAGGAGTCTGTGGCGGGATGGGGCCGAATTCTGCACCCCCACTCAAAGTAAACCCTAGACCTCCCAGTTACCTAAATAATGGGTTCTGGGTTCGTTACATAGCCCAGTAACCTACTATTTAGGTAACTGGGAGCCCAAAGAAAATCCTCCAGTGCCATCAGGGTGCTGGAACCGGCAGCAGCCCCTGGACACAAAGCTGAACTCTCCTCCCAGATGCATTTTTGCAAGTTTTAGGGGTAGCTAAGGCGCCGAAGGATGCATTGGGATTGCGGTCAGTCCGTGTGGCTCATTGTTGGGTTCGTTATGGAGATTGGTAAGGGATTGTTCAAAGTATTTCCCAGCCGAAACGGAAGTACATAGACCCTCTAGAACGGAACTTGTTGCATAAACTCGCATGTTGCTATACGACAATCAGGCAGGCAGCTCGGAAAGGCCTCAACTGGTTAAACCAACCACTTGGGTAAACACCATTCGCGTAAGCATATTGGTGATTGGTGGTTGTCAAAATTATGGTCCCTTTTTGGGTACCCTCAATATTAGGTGCCGTATTATAATAGGGATCCACAACGGGACCATAATTTTGACAACCACCAATATGACTATGAGGTACTTGGACCCTTAGGGTTATAGACCCCTAAGGGTCCAAGTATCTAATAATTATATACTCACCCAAAACCTGTGCTATAATCACTATTACCCAAAACCCAAGTACCTAATTATTGGGTACTTGGACCTTAAAACCCTAGACCCTATATACTCCCCCATGCCACTATATATCCCCTTTAAAGGATCCCTATATATCCCCTTTACAGGGACCTAATTATTGGGTACTGGGACCCTCTGGGGACTCAAAAATCGCAATCCTCGGAGGCTGCGAGAAGACATGGAGGAAATCCTCAACCTCTGTGGTGTCGATCATCTGCGCGGCAGTTTGAGGTACAATTGAGTATTTAGGGGTATTTAAGGGTATATAGGGGTATATCGGGGTATATAGGGATGTATAGGGATATATACACCCTAAACTCTAACCCTAAGGCTCAAAATAGCCCAAAGGCCTTATGTAGTATGGTCCTTGGGCCTAAAAGCCCAATATTTCTCAGTCCTTTGAGCCTTAGCGTAAAGCCTAACTCTGAATCCTAAACCCTATCACCCCTAATCCCTAAACCCTTCTTCCCTACGAACCACCAGTAGTATCTAGTGAAACCACAGCCTTAGGAACGGGCTTGGGATGATCAGCGGGGAAGGGCTAAGAGCTTCGGGATGTTTAGGGGTTGGGGTTCAACAACTATAGTAATAATAGGAATAATAATGATCGAAGCAATAATGGTAATACTAATAGTAATACTCATACTAGTAATCGTAATAGTAATAATGATACGAGTAGTTCAACAACTTAAGGCTTCGCTGATCAAAGCTTGCAACTCATGGGGAACCTGCGGACCTCCAGACAGGCTCCCCAGCATCAGCGGGTTTACTGTTGACGAACAATGTCCGCATGACCATGCATGCTAGGGGGGGCATTTTACGAAAGACAAATCTTACATAGCAGAGTAAGTATACATAATATATACATATTTGCATTATTGCTAAAGAATATCAGAATATCAACAGATTGTAAAGGGGACTTGTTTACCTAGGTACATGCTGAAAGCCTAGGACCATGCCACGCTCATGGACACTTACAAATTAGCCTAATGTGGCAAATTAGGATCTGCATGTGAGGTGCGGAGTCCATCCCAGAATGTTGCACACGCGTTTGCACGAACAAGTCTAAGGCGAGGATCTCCAAGGCACAAAAATTTGGGGAATGACCCCAAAACTCAACCTTCATCTTCATGAGCTGCAGCAAGATCTAAACACCCTGAATTGACTGAGGTAACAATTTCAAATGCATCCAAATTTTGGCTCAAAGGCTGAAGCCTGAAACCGAAAATGACGCCAGAACCCTCAAAAACCCAGCATTTTTCCGAAGCCCGGAGTTTAACGTACAAACTTGGGGCTCCTTTTACCTATGGTTTTATGAGTTCTACCGACTACGTAATTAGGGGCAATGGTACTGAGCTGTGGGTACATGGAGTCACAAGTATAACCTGAATCTCCAAAATTCCAAAAATCTTTTTCAACAGGGCCATTCCTGAAAGCCCCACCATCATGTTACTGGCGCTTAAGGGAGAGAGGAAGGGAAATGCGGGTACCGTTGTACTCGTAGACCATGCATGCGAGTTTCCTCAAATTTTTTTTGGGGCAAAAATATATAGTAAGAAATATACGATTGTTGGGTCTATATTGTGGTCCCCTATTTGGGAAACTACCGTTTTGAAATTATCATAGGGATCCACTCCCCCACTCTCCCGCAAGCAAAAGTAAGCAAGCCAACAAAACATCAGCCGGTCAAGGTGCTAAATCTTCCACGCGAGGGTCCCCGTAGAATTTCACCGGCGAGTTGTTTCCAGCCTGGCCTCAAAATCCCGCCAACAAACACGAAACCCAAGGGGGCTAGGGGACAAGGTTTTGGGATCACCATTGACCCCAAAGTTGAACCTGGGAGTAATGAGGGTGCAGGGTTTATAGTTGAAAGATCAATAAATCAAAGGTAGGGTTGTGATTTGGGTATCTGTGGTTTACAAAGGCTACTTGGGATGTCCAAAAAAAGTAAAGTCAGGTCATCATTCATCTATGGACTTGGGGGGTGCATGGAGATTAGTTCCCTCTTGGGGGCTACACGCAGATCATGTTGGGAAATTCCCAAAAATAGGATCATAGCCAAAAAACGAAGCTTCTAAACTTTACACTTGAAGCTCTCTCTTTTGGCCAGCATACTTGTAATGTCAAGATCATTCAAGATCATGGCGCATCAACGCCGACAAGAAGTCCTAGAGCCGAAGTTGCTATAGTAAGCGCTGAAGGCTTCCTGAACGTGTATCCAAAAATGGCACCATGACACACAGCACTATATACCCCCGCTTTTACTTTACAGATCACTATGATCTTCTCGCAGAAGATCAGGAGGGCCCATATCGGGGTTTAGATAAGGACTGGAATATTGAGGGTTTTTTAAGGGTCCCCCATTTTGGGCAACTAACATATCCAAGGCAGATAATGTAAAGCGCCACAGTGCAGTTCACGAACAAGCATTATGAGTGACTTATTCCTCAAACTTCCCCAAGCCTCTATTCTACTTATATGGGCCCTACTTGGACCCTAAGCCCTAAACCTCAAAACCTTAAACCCTAAAGCCCCAAACCCCCCACGACCGCAAAGCCGTGAAGCCCTAAAGCCCTACACTCTAAGACCCTTAACTTAGATTTCTGGGCCGCGGGCGGTAGGCTAAGCTGGCCGTGAAGATCAAGGCAACAAAGTAGGCGAAGATCATCCTTGGGGTTTATCTAGGGTTTAGGGTTAGGGTTTAAGCTGTAGGGTTTGTTTGACCCTAAGCCCTAAACCCTAAACCGCGTGGTTTGTTTGTGCGTTTAGGGTTGTGTTTTTAGGGTTAGGGTTTGCATGTTCAGGGTTTAGGTTTTCTTGGTTTTGGACTTTGTACCATTCAGGATCTAGAGCCTAGAGCGGTGCACAGTTTCGGGCTTTGGGGTGGTTTATCGCGCAAGGGTTTGGGGTAGTTCAAGGTTTGGGGATGGCTGGGGGTTTAAGGATTTCAAGTTTACAGGTTCAGGGTAGTTTAGGGTTCAGGGTTTCAGTATACAGTATAGAGAGCTTCTTCCAGTCGTGCTAGACCAGCTTGGTGAGCTTTGACAACCAGATCGCTGCGCACAGCACTTCTTTGCGCGCGCCCTTGAGCTCCCTGGAGGCCTGGCAGGTGTAGCAGTACCCCGAGAAAGCAACTGCCACCACCAGAGCCTCATGGCTGGCGAGCCTGCCCTGCAAAAACACCATTGCACCCAGCATTGCGCCAAGCCTTTTTGAGAGTCCTGCTGGATCCAGCGGAAGTATTCTTCGAATACCTCACAGGCGGATCATGATTCAGAAAGAAACCTTGAGCCCAATCGCAAGGCCCTCAGTCCTAAAAGCTGTGACGCGGCACCTCCGCCTTGGTGATCAGCTGGTGGTCTGAGGCCTCGAACATCCAAGACCCGCAAAGCAAAAGCGAATCAACATGCTTTACGAGCAGACACTTTTACTGCAGCAATAAGCCTAAACCCTAAACCTTTTGCTGCGCGTGAGAGGGCTGGGTGCCTCCACCTTGGCGGAAAGCCGCTCCTCCGCGTTGCGGAGGGCAAGCTCCAGCTAGGTCACACACCGACTCTCCTGCCGAAATCAACGTATCATAGGAACGACATTTTCTCTGCTGACACTAATTGTAATCAGTGGGCATGGGATCCATGGGAATTACTAGTTTGATGTTCATGTCCAGCCGCGCTTGGCGGTGCCTGCCCAAAGCAAGCAACACAAAACCCACCAAACGATCTTTCACGCAAGAGCCTTTGGAATGGCCATCGCACCAAGGCCTCCAAACCAGCGCCGAAAATGGACAAATGCAATGGGCTCAGTTCTGTGGCTCAAGCAAAGACTCCGGCACCCAGAGCGCAAAGCAAGCGAAACAAGTGGGGCGAGGTTGGCAGGAAGCTGAGAAAGCCGAAATGCCGCTCAGGACACTCTGGGGGTTTCCAATCTATTTGGGCTACCATGTCTAAAGGGGTCCCCATACGAAGGATGGTAGTATATTGGGGTCTGTATAGGGGAACTACCATATCATGGATTCCCAGCCAGCAATACAAAGGGAGTTAACATTGTCCCATCATTCATGGCAAGGAAAAATGAGCCTAGATTTCAGGCTTCAAGCTCTTTGACTCGGTGTTTGGGACCTAGCGTTTAGGATGTAAGGTTCGGGGAAAGTTCCTATTCGGCCGCCTTCCCTGCAGCCGTGCCTCAGGCACAGCACCAGCTTGTCTTGGTAGCGCATGCCTGGGATGAGGAGGCTTATGACGCTCCAAGCCCCCAAAAGGCAGCTAATGTATTGTAGAAGTCAAAAATATTCATGGGAAGGTAACAGATCTTTGTACCGTGCAGGATGTAGGGCCAAATCGTGGAGAATTCACTATGGAAAATCAGATGGAATATGAAATGGAAGCTAGGTTTACCCAGTGGCAGGTAGGGATTGATGCAGGAGTCTAAATGTTTGCCATAAAGCGTGGGTGTATATTCTGCTTCAAGCTTAAACTGGGCTCATGCTACTAATCCTTCATGCTTCTACATCATCTCGTTCTTAGTCCAAACACAAATATCTAGCCCAGGGCAACTATGTTGTGGTAGTATGCTTGGGGGGAGGGGGGAGGGTCGTGCACAATTTTGCCCATCAGCAGTGTTACCAAGCCAAGAAAACGGGTTCTTCGCGCGAACAGAATACGAAGACCTATACCCCCAAAATGCTTGAAGCATATTTCTACTGTAAGACCAAAAGCTCGCAAGAGTCATCAGCTTACTCAGAGTACAATATGACCATGGTGGTATACTCGCACATATGAGGAATATCTAATATCAGCGGGCGAGGGGCTTCAAGGGGAGGGTATTCCACCATTGAAAGGGGTTGCGGATTCGATCATCAACTTCTAAAAGCCGTCCGAGCCCTCCGCCCCCCCTCCGACCAGCCAGAAAGCCCAGTAGCCTTTAATTACGGAGCATCCCTTGAACCAGACTAGGATCCCTCATATGATGTAACCATATTTCCGAATTATGGGATATAGGGATTTCTGGTATATTCCATCATTAAGGGATCTTGAGCTTTGCGAGTACATGCCCAGATGCGTCGAATGAGGTCCCGGTCCATAGCAGCACTTCCAGTTCCAGTACCTGCACCCGTACCTTAGATCACAAGCTTGATATAAGGGGTCCGGTATACAGGGTGGTCTAGGGAATGTGTATGGGGTGTAGGGGGATATGTAGGGTTTAGGGGGATTGTATCAAGGGGTATATAGGGATTAATACCGCAATCATGAAGAATCAAATGGATAAGAACACGGAAGAAGAAATAGAAACCGGGAATAGATAACGAATACCTGGAGAATCCCATGGGAAAGCAAATGCAGACAGAAATGGAAACAGGGAATTCAACGGGAACAGGCTAGCATTCAAAAATGCAGCTACTCGCTGGAGCGCTTCGCCAACAAGTCCGAGAACGGGCGGCCGCCCTTCCACTGCAAAAATGGAAGTTTATTAGCGCGCCCCTCTTTCCCCACGGATGGAGAATCACATGGAAAAGCAGATGGAAAGGCGCATGGAACATGAAACAGAAACTGGACTTGCAAGGGGAACAGGCTGGCGTTGAAGGATGTAGCTCATGATGCACCCCATTCGCTGGAGCGCTTGATTGAACACACCTTTGCTTTAGCCCAGACGTTGCCTCATCAAACATAACACTGAAAAGCCTTCTGTGACTTGCTGCTTTTTCTCTGGGAGAAAGCATCCCTCTGTGGAGCGATGTGCTCAGCCTCATTAGCAACAGGACTGATCATGCTTAGGCAGTCTGCCGCAGTTCAGACTGAGAACTGCAGTTGTGCCGTTTTGTTTGTCCATATATACTCTGCGCTGACTTACTTTGCATGAGTTCAGCATCCCTATCCTAAGCCCTAAAGCAAAAACCTCGAATGCGGTTGCAGCTTCATATGGTCCAGGTTCTATATGGTCATACACTCCGGGACACATCTACACTTGCAAGTATGCAATGTTGTTTGGTGTATGGACATGGAACCGCCTTCTACAGCTATGATGCCTCAATAGGATCTCTGATAGTACCTCCATTGTGGGACAAATTCCTGCCCCTAGCCTGCGAAACCTTCCTGCATACCAATGTTGGGATCAAATACTTCCCAGCAAAAAGCAAGATCCTACTAACAGAAGCACTACTTTCTTCTACGTACGAGCTTGGGGCCCTTTAGGCTTCCATTGCATGCAAGGGTTCCGCCTCCGACAGCCAGCAGAATCTCCTCCACACTGTTTCTGGGGCCACATTACGAGCCACACGGGTTTAGGGTTTAAGGTTTAGGGTGGGTTTAGGGTTTAGGGTCCTAGGAAGAAAAAAGGATCCTTTTTCAAGACATCCCATACCCCAAAAAACTATTGCCATTGATCCAGGTTTAGGGCCTACCTGGACCTCTCAAGTACCCATTGGAATGAACCTTTACCCCAAGAAAATATACATGGGGAACTCCTGGGCTTCAAGCCCTAAACCCGAACCCTAAACCCCTAAGCCCTAAACCAAAAACCCCAAACCCCAAACCCGAAACTTCCTAAAACCCAAAATGTTGAGGTCCCCCTTAAGTAGAAAAAATATGGCTTTGGGTATATTGTACTAGGATCCCCATATACCCCACATTCTATCTACTTAAGGGGGACTATAGGATTTAGGGTTGGTAGAGGCGTCGGGATGGCTTTGGGGCTTAGAGTTTGGGACGGCTTTCTACCCTAAAATCAACCCAAAAATGAGCTGATGAGTGGGTGTAGGGGGATCATCAGAAGCCAAAAACTAAGCATTCTTTAGGTAGGGTTTAGGAATGTAGGGATTCGGGTTTAGGGTTTAGAGGGGGGTTTCAGGACAACCCCTAGGTTTAGGATTCGGGCCCAGAAAAAGCAAGCCAATCCTACATTGCAAAGCACATGGGGCTGGCTCTGCTCATCGTCTCCCTGAATAAACAGGATGCCCACCGTCCAGAGGGTTATTCCGGATATGATGCTGTTATATCGCAGGTGAGCAGTTCGTTGTCACAGGGGTGTTCACTATTAGAAGGAAGGTTTTGCATCAAAATGCGGTAAAGACAGCTACAACGATGGGGGATTTAGGGTTTAGGGTAGCTTTGATGAACGTTTTCAGTACTCGAGCCTACATAGGGCCTTTGCGTACAGTTAATTACCCTGGTTGTCATCCTCTACCCCGAGCTCAAGACTGCAAAACATGATGGACAGCCCTAACTTTCTCAACCTTTCGGGTCAAGGGTTTAGGGAGTTTACGGTAGCTGTGGTTGCTACACCCGAAACTGTGTGTGGGGAGAAGCTTAAATGTAGGTAAGACCGGCTACCGGTGGGCCATAAGACCTATAGTCCAAACTCCTTAAAGAGGGTGTTATATAGGGGATTATATTGGGGACTATTATGGGGCTTCCTACGTGGGATGGGGTTTACATGAAAGGCTTGAACCCTGCCTGCCTTGGCGTTCGGAGCCTCTTTTGATGCCTCAGCTGGAAATGTAAGCTTCTGATTCATAAGCCCCCTCCCTTTAAGGGCCTTGATATTCGGATCCCTATAGGGTTTACATAGGGTGTAGAGTTTAGGGTCTATCGTAATCCCTATTAAGGGGAGGGTGTCAATTAATCAGGAGTCTGGGTTAGGACTCGCAACTTGGGAACAGGCTCCCTATGTTTTCTTACTGGGTTTGGTAGGGAATGTGGGGATATGTTATGGCAAGCTCCCCAGCCCAAACCAACCAAGCACCGCACAAAAAAAGAGGTTTCCCTAAATAGGGGGACCAAGACACCATAATCCTTATTATGGGAACCCCCAGAAAGGTAGCCCTAATTCTGGGAAACCTCCCTCTGTGTGTGTGTCTCTAAACTTTCAGCTGGCCCAGACACTTGCTCCCAATCCAACGCGTGAGATCCGCGCCAGCGCCCCGGACCTCTGCAAGCCCCTCTAAACACTTTCAACCTAGGATTGAAGGTTTTGGGGTTCGGGTTCATAGGCTATAGGGGTTACTTGCAGGGCAAGGGATAGAGTAAGTAGGTTGATAACCCTTATAACCCATATAGTAGGCCCACATATCCCACTTTTTAAACTACTTACTAAGTTCCCCTGACCCTCCAAGCCCTAAACCCTAAACCCTAAGCCCTAAACCCCAAGTAGGGGGTCCAAGTAGGGGTGGTTTAGTGCTTTAGGCTTGGGATTCTTGAGGGGTTAGACTGCTTCAGGGTGCAAAAGCATCTTGGGGGTTCAAGATTTGAGGATTTCACAAAATAAGGGGTACCTTTCGGGGGCCCTATGATAGGGACTATAGTATATTGGGGTCTATATTGGGGTCCCCTTATTTTGGGAAACTACCATTTGTTTTTTTTGTGGTTTAATAAGGTCTGGGGCATTGGGATTAGCGGGTAAGGGTTCAGCGGATTGAAGGGTTTGGACTTTAGGGTTCATAGGCTTTCAGGGGGTAGGGAGTCAGCGCCAGAGGCCTCGATTAGGGCCTGGGATGGGAGTGCAGGGTTGGAGGGTATGAGCATGGTACCAAACAGCCCAGTCATGACAGTTGCAGCCCCGAAATCCTGCTGTGGAGGCCTGAAGGACTACTCATCCATTCTTGGGGTTTTTACGCACCCTAGACCCTAAACCCTATACCGCAGTTAGGCAACCCAAAAAGCTGCGAAACTGGTAGCCGGGGAGTTGGAACAGCAGTCCACCATACCCCAAGACCTAGGAGGAAGGAACAATTGCATCCATCATCCCAGCCTCGGAACCCTAAAACTCGTGAACCCTAAGCCCTAAATCCTAAATCCTAAACGGTAAGCTCTAAATCCTACGCCCTGAGCCCGAAATCCTAAACCCTATGCCCGCTAAACCTGAAACTCTAAGCACTAAACTGCGCGCAAAGCTTCGCGGAGGCTCCATCCCCTGGCACCAAAGATCAGAAACAAATGAGGACAAGGTTGTGTTGTTGAGGTGGAAGTTACTTTCCTAGACCCTCCAACTACCCTCGGTTGGGCTTGAAGTACCTGCTTCCAGGGACCACATACCCCTATTTATGGGCATTAGGCGAGTCATGGTTATCGTTCAGGACCTTAGGAATTATAGTCCCCCTTAAGTTGCTAGAATATGGCTTTGGGCATATTTAATATAAGATCCCCACATACCCTATATTCTATCTACTTAAGGGGGACTATAAGCCCTAAACCCTAAATAGTAGTTTCCGTTCTCTTTTCCATTATCACTAAACCCTAAACCCAAACCCTAGACCCTATATGGGGATCTTATAGAATAGACCCACAGCCATATTCTATCTACTTAAGGGGGACTATAAGGTTTTCCCTTCCACCTAGCATCTCGCAGACTCGGGGTTGTTGGTTGTGTGGGTTTGCTAGGCTCAGCTTCACAGAGCTATAGCCTCCCTTAAGTAGTTAGAATATGGGGGTTATATGGGGATAACGGACAAGAAAATGGAAACTACATTTTAGAGATTAGGGTTTAGGGTTTACAGCCCCCCTTAACTAGATAGACTATAGGGTATACAGGGATCTTACTAAAATATACCTAAAGCCATCCTCTATATTCTTAAGGGGGACTGTACCTCCACATTTCGAAGTAGCGCCTGCGGGGTGCTACTAGGAAGAAGCCTGGGATTTCTGCTGAAGGGTGGTGGGATTTGGAATAGTCGCTAGTAGGATCCCCACAAATGATGATGTAGAGCTCTTTGGTGCTTTTGGGGGTTAGGGTTTGGAGTATAGGGTACGGGACTAGATTTGGTCAAAGGCAGTAAGCAAGTACCTGCAGGGCATGTACTTTGGGCCGAAAGTGCCCTAACAGGAATCACCTTGCACCACCAGGACCTCAAGGATATACAAAGGAAATTCCTCCTGGGCATACGCTCCCCCCCTCAACCAAAACATGTGTAGGGTGTAGGGTTGAGGGTCTATTGAATGAGTATGTGCTATTACCGGCTCGGAGTTTGGGCTATCTTGAGGCACTTGGCGTCACGGGAATAGTCTACATCCCAAGAGCTTGCCTAAACCTTGAGGCGTAACTCGAATTGACACTTCTCATGCTCCAGGAATTGTTGAGTGAACTTCCGCAAGGAAAGCTGACTCAGATACCTGACGCACAACCCTGGCAGCTTTTGATGAGGATGACCATGGCAGCCCTTGCCTACTTAGATTGCAATCTAAGATTCAACTCCAGTCTACACGGTTTAGGGTTTAGGGTTTAGCGTAGGGTCTTTTCAAAATGATCTGGCCAAGTGGTAGCAATTCAACGTCCACATGTTGAGGTGACGTGGGGTAAAGTCGCAGCAGTTTGCCCTGGAGTTGAGCCAGCATATATCGAATTATACAGAACCAACATCTGACCCATGATTTTAGTGGAGGCCTCTCCAACAGGACACTATATACATACATATGTATATATATATATATGGTCCTGTGCTTACCCATCGAAAGCCATCATAGGGGCCATATTAAGGGCCATAATGATACGGAGATATGTATACATATATATATATATATATGTGTATATGTTATATGTTGATGACTGGAGGCATTACTAAATTTGTGCACTAGCCAATATGCCAACAAACCCGAGATACACTCACAACAACATTCTGAAGACGTTACTTCACTCATCGGTACATGCACCCAGTTTTCATGTTGCCCATTTCACTCTCCATTCTGGTGCCTAAGCCTCAAACCCTACCATGTCAAGTTCCCTGACCCTAAACCCTATACCCTAAAACCCTCAACCTCTCCTTCATATTCATATAGTAAGTTAAACCTTAATGGAATCAGTGGGCATTGGCCAAAAAATCAATGTGGCTCCAGGATTATGGCTCAAGGGCTTTGGCTCTAGGATTCTGGTTCTAGGGCTCTGGTTGTAGGGTTCTGGCTCTAGGCTTCTGGCTCGAGGGTTCTGGCTTGAGGGTTCTGGTAATAGGGTTCTGATTATAGGGTTCTGGCTCTGGGGTTCTGGTTTTAGGGTTTTGGCTCTAGGGTTCTAGAGTTCTGGCTCTAGGGTTCTGGTTCTAAGGTTCTGGTTATAGGGTTCTGGCTCTAGGGTTCTGGCTCTGGGGTCCTGGTTATAGGGATAGTGCTGAGAGTTTAGGGTTGGAAGGGCATCGTTTCGTGAGTTGAAATATTTTGAAGGTGATCTATTTTCTGAGTGTTATGGGACCCAATGGGCGGGTGAGTATTTTTCCTATGACTTGAGACAACTGCTCTTGGAATAAATGCTTGAACTTGAGATGCTGAACCCTAAACCCTAAACTCTAAACCGCAGCTCTTGGCAGCCAGCCTCCCGCTCGCCCGGAAGGATCCACGGCACCTTTTTTGGAAGTGTTTAGGGTTTAAGGTTTAGGGTTTGCTGTGAGTTACCGTGCAGGCAGTGATGATCAGGTGTCAAGGACTCTTCAAGCGCATGGCTGGCGTCATCAACTTCAACCCAGCATAGGATGACACAATGTGACGCCTGGATATTTCAATCCCAATTTCACGGTGAAGTCTACGTGAGGTACTCTTATACGATACTTGTACAAGGAATCTAGAACCACAATAGCGGTAGTTATGCGGGCCCCCGCATAACCCCAGACCAGGCCGATTTGCTTCTTCCATCTCATAGGCCCTAAACCCTAAACCCTGAATGGATCTCCAGGGGTCCCCTGAAAAATCCCTCCTTGGAATGGACCACCCTAAGGGTCCAAGTACCAAGCAGTCATATACCCAATCCTGTATGAAAAGTATTACTATTGAAACGTGGACCCATAAGGTCATAAGGGACCTAATCATTTCTTGGGAGTCTTCTCTGCTCGACGGACCCTTTCGACACGATCTGGGAACACTTTGCGCGAGAGCCCAAACCCTGTACTCTTCTAAAACACAAGAGAAATTTGAAACCAAGAGTCTACGAGCCTGCTGAAGGATCTCCTTTTCTTATTGGAGAAAACCTAGGGACCCCATTTTATAGCAAGGTGACCAGGGCTATCCATTTTGTAGAGGAATAAGGCCGGGGGATGTTGAGGGTAGTAAGTTGTCCCTCTTGAGGCGGTATATTGTTGATGGAGCTTACACCACCTCAAGCCCCTCCCTAAACCCTACTTTGCAGGTCAGGGGGACTTCGTAAGTACGTTCATGATGGGGATAAGTGGGGTTACTATCTGGGTTATAGGGGTTATTCACCTACTTACCAAGCCCCCCGGACCCTTCAAGTAAACCCTAAACTGCTGAAGTTCCAAGGACCGTATGACACAGCAGGCGGTGCAGGCTTACCCTGGATCCTTGACACACCCAAATTTAGTGTTTAGGGGGTAAGGGTTAAGGGGTGAGGGTTTAGGGTGTTTAGGCTGTTTAGGGTGTTTAGGGTTTAGGGTTCAGGACACTGACCACGCCAAAGATTCGCCAAGGTTCTGTCTCCAGGTCCGTGTTCCTGCCCACCTGGATGTAAGAAAAACAGTCTTTGCCAATAACAGGATCCTTTGCAGCTGTATACTACTGTTGATTGAAAAAAATCCTGCATGGCCTTGCTATACTAAAGCGTGCTGGATTACACGAATGCGAAAGAATCAGATATCATCAGGCGAATGTACGGAATTCTATCTTGCCTACGCCACTATAATCAATATATATATATATATGTACATACATACATATATATATCCTGCGTAATCCCGTCAAAAGGGCCCATCATCCTGCGACTGTGTCCCTGGGTCGTTGGCAAGCTGGCACTCATTCAAATACAGCCGACGATGCAATTTGACCTTCCAAGCCGTAGAGTCCTCCTCACACACTGGGTTGCTCTTGAAAACGTTTAAAAATTAAGCTAGCAAAATGGGTATATACTCTAAATACGAGGGCTTCCTTGTCATAATAACCTGTCCTATATTATACCAAAAAACAGCACTGCAAGATTCAGCTGAAAACCACCCCACAGATTTCTAGCCATCAAGACAAACCATCCGCAACAATCCAAATCCATGACCGTTCAACCCTCCTAAAACCCCTACACCTTGAACCCGAAGTGTTTACCCTCAACCCTAAACCCTAATCCCTAAACCCATAATACTAAACAACGCCTAAACCCTGTTGCTGCGGTTGACGCTGTGAAGGAGATCTGCTTCCGCTGATAGCTGTCTGAAACCCGTACAAAGGTTTAAGCGTTCGGCTTTAGTGGTTGTCTAACATTTAACGCAAGAGGAAAATCAAAGGGAAAAGACATGGAAAATAAAATGAAGCCGGGAGCATACAGGGGTTTATGGATATTCTTTTGAGTAATTACCAACGTCTTGGGGTCTGTTTGTCTGTTTGTAGCACCCTATGCCATGTTTGCAAAAGGAATCTAGAACCATAGCATAGGTACTTTTTCACGCGGATATACTATTGCACAACAAAATATCCCTTCGCCCTATCTGGGAAAGCCGACAAGTGCGTGACGATCAACAATGGCAACTTCAACAGGGATCAAAATGGGGCTTGTAGTTTCAGCCACTGCCTTCGAAAAAACATTGAAAGCGTTTTCCCAACTGTCAACCAAGTCACGCGTACAGGTCGCTCTCCCTGCCAGCATGCACGTTCAGTCTATGTTGGGGCACCCTGACTCTACTTGAGGTTCTGAGCAGGCTTGCTGACCTAGATCTCGGGCCCTCTCAGCGAATTAAACCAGTATCTTAGACATGAGTTGCTCTCGGCCCCTTGTAGGTATAGATTAGATTACTGCACCGAATATGTGTTTAGGGTACCAAAATGGGACCCTATTTGGGGAACTGCCCACATGTCTGTGCCCAAAAGGTCTAGTGAAGTGCAGGCTGCAGGGCTGTCAGAAGATGTACTCGGAGGCTCAGGGGGACTTAGTAGGTAGGTTAATATAAGGGGGATAAGTTTTAGGTTTTGGGTTTAGGTAGGTAGGCTCAGGGGGAATTAGTAGGTAGTTAATACTACGTTCAGGGTTTAGGGTTTAGGTTGTAGAGGCTATTAACCTACTTACAAAGTCCCGCTGACACATTCCCAGTTGGTGAAGGGGTGCACTTGCAGGGTTCACCTATCATCATTCACGAGGAGCCCTGGGGCTGTTCAGGGTTCAAGGTTTAGCGTTCAGGGTTTAGGGCTTTAGGTTTTCTTGGTGCGGGGTATAATCGGCCACATAGCCGTAGAAAAACCACGTAGGAGGGTCTGGATATGTCAGTAACAGGTTCTTACTGCATCCCGGAACCTTCTGATATCCTCTGATGCTCTTCATTCCCCCTAAATCCCCACGCGTCATCTGTTACTACTACCCTTTTGTTCCAACTATGCTTCTTACTTTAATTGTTCGTAGTACTAACACTAGTACGAGAAATCTGCCCTCTGGGATGCACGAAGTAGTACTTTAGGCTCTGAATCAGTGGAAACCTGGTTTCAGACATTCCTAAAGGGTTCATGTAGGTATATGGTACAGGTAAAAGGCCCCATATCATTGCTGTGGGTTTGTGCAATATACCATAGATGCACATGCACCCTTTGGGATAAGTAGACCCATAATGCCTAGACCTTAGCCAAGTGGAGGCCTGCCCACGTAATCCCCTCCGCCTACCGCCCCACAATCTCAAACCCTAAACTCCCCACATCCTACACAATCTCCCAAAGGAATATTCGCGCTTGGGTCTCGTCGCAGGGGAGGGTGAAAAGTGCTGCGCTAGATCGCAGGTAATGTTCTACCTTTCAGAAGACAGATTTCGGTGTAGTAAGCTTTGCTTTGTTTGTAACAATCTCGACTGATGCAGGCACTAGGCCTTAGCCACCTCCCCCTGCATGTAAAACTTGCACCGTGCCGCAGGAAGAATGGATATTCACCCATGATATATGACGGCACTGTACTGGGCAAGTCATCATTACCAAGGGTACCAGTATGGGACAGTGGTTAATTGGATGACGGCGGTTTAGGGCTTCGGATCCAAGACATTGGAGTTTCCCAAAGTGATCCTTACTTAACTGGGGAGGCAGACTGGTGTCTGATCAGCGCAGAATCCTCATACTAGTCCCTATAGTACCCCAAGTATATAGCGGGCCCAATTTTCTTGTGCATTCCTAAACCCTGAACATTAAACCCTAAACCCTCAACCATAAGCCTGAAAACCTCGAACCCTAAACCCTCAATCTTAAACCCTAAACCCTCAACCATAAGCCTGAAGACCTCAAATCCTAAACCGTAAACCTTAAACCCTTAAATCGTAATATTCAGGCAAAGGGCCTCAGGCTGGTGTTCTTTACCTGACCCAATGCATGGGAAAGCTTGCTTCGAAGGCAGCAATTCACATTTTTAGGGTTTAGGCTTTGGGGTTTAGGGTTGAGGCTTTGGGGTTAGGGTTTAGGGCCTAGGGCTTAGATATGGAGGCTTGACAGGCTTTACATGATGATATAGGCATGATCCAGCATAGAATTTAGGGTCTTAGAGGGTCCAGGTTTAGGGGCGTTTACTTCCTTGGCGGTTTCCCAAAATTAGAGGTATCAGTTTTAGGGTTCCTAATAATGATGACTGTAGTATTTTGGGTCTCTCTGTGGGGCCCCCAATATGAGGTTCCATGCTAGTTGGCTTCGGAGAAGTGAAGCCTCCGTCTCTCTTTTTAGGGGGCGTCTCCAAGCCTTGGTGGCTTTGGGAGTTGAACACTTGGGGCTCAGTTTCCAGGTGATTTCCAGTAGCCATAAAAACGGTTCTGTAGTAAACCCTGTGCCACGGATTTCTTCGTCCTATAGCATCCGAGAAAGGATTGCGCTTGAGACGTTCAAACCCCGAACCCTACGGATAGCAACCCAAGTCTCTAAAATAGTAGTTTCCATTTTCTTTTCCATTATCCCTATATAACCCCCTATACCCAAGTATCCTCACAAAAAGGCATTGTACCCCCAAGGCTGCCTTTGCAAGGCGTCAAGCTCCTCTTTTCTAGGGGGAGGGACTCGATACATATTCCAATGCTTGGGGGGTCAGGGGGACTTTGGGTTTAGGGTTTAGGGGTTTAGGGTTTAGGGTCAGGGGGACTTAGTAAGTAGGTTAATAATGGGGATAAATGGGGTTACTATATGGATTATAAGGGGTCCCCCTGACCCTCCGAGTAAACTATAACCACAGTGCCAGGGTATGATCCGGTTTAGACTAAAGTTTAGGCTTGGACCTTTCCCCAAGTAAGACCCTACACCGACAGCCAACCACGGCCTGAAGTAAAGAAAATTGTCCGCGCTGACTTAGAACTTAAAGATTGGCACATGTCGCCTGGAGGACGAAGTATAGAATTATCAGGCTCCAGCATCAAAACCATACCAAAGACCGTAACTTACCCCTTTAACCTGCGGCATAGGGCCATCACAACTGTCAAGTCATAACTTAACACAAGGCTGCAGGTAGGTGCGAAACCCCAAACCCCTCAAAAGAAAGCACCAAGTGGAGGACTAACAACAAATCAGAAGCCTCCTCAATTTCTCTTGGCAGCGTAAGAGTTCCTAACATGAGGCGGATACATGTGCATGTCTAACAGACGTTCGCAGCTACCCAGCTGGCAACCCTACACCAAAGCTTATACCCCAGAACCTCTATCAAGGGTACCTACCCGAATCAGAAATTCACCCAAGGGAACTCACCCAATATGGGGTCTCTGTATGGGGTCCTTTGACTTCACATTATACTATACAACTAAGCCCAGGCATAGATGGAGAGGCTGATACCTGTACGCCAAAGTACGGACCTAGACAGCTGGATCAGCGTCTTCGGGAATACCATACTATACTGCTACAAGGTGCATGAGCAGGTCACGTTCGTAATTTTTCTTGGGACTGCTAACCCAGAACGCCCAATATTCCTTTGTCAACCCTAAACCCTAACTCCTAATCCCCATAAACCCTAAACTCTACATTATCTAGTTCAGGGGTATTGGGCTTTCTGGGAAGCCCTCCCCCTAAACCCTAAACCCTAAATCCCAAAAACCTAAACCCTAAACCCTAAACCACAAAAACCTAAACCCCAAAAACCTAAACCCCTAAACCCTAAACCCCTAAATCGTAAATCCTAAACAAAAAAGTGCAGCGCCTCGACGAGTCGGCGCTGACACAGCGCCGGGTTCAGTGCGGAAGGCCTCATCTGCCGTTCGCCACTGTACGAATTATTTAGGGTTTAGGGTTTAGGATTTAGGGTTTAGGGTTTAGGATTTAGGGTTTGGGGTGTAGGGTTTAGGGTTTAGGGCGTCTTCCTGCGCAGGGCTGAATATCCATGCGCCGATGGCGCCACCCCACTTCCAGGGATCTGTGGGTGGCGGCACATCCTGCGCCCAGCGAACTTCGTGGATGTTGCCCAAGAAGCCATCGAAACTGGGTTTTCTT